TATATTTTGAGTTCCTTGACTTTGACCTGAAGTCATGTTCTTTGTGTATTTCCAAGTTACAGAAGTCACCTGGTCCAAATGTCCACCCCAGTAAGATATTTTTTTTGACACTCCTGAGGGGTCTAGTTTATGACTGACTCTTAAGATGGTTTAACCAAGAGGCAGATACTTCAAAGTAGTAATTCTCAAGGCTTGCTTTGCCTGTATATTCTCTGGATTAAATTTGGAAAATAGTAGACCCCTTTGAATATTTTTAGTTGCCATGTAAAACCCATATGCATAAATGCAGTAGTTGCAAAGGACATGGTTTCTAACACATTCCATATCCTATATGGAACTTATTTTACCAAACCCTTGGTGCAATAGGTGAAACCCATTCACTTTGCAGACTCTATCTTCTATATTATCTGTCAAGAAAATCCATTTCAAATTATCAACAGAAACAGTCCAGCCAGGGCTGCTTTTCTTTAAAAAAAAATGGGTTCATATTTTTCAATTTAAATGAACCATAATACTTTAATCTCTGTGACAAACATACCACCTTTAAATGTCAAGATAAAACAATAGATGGACAGATAAGACATAGAGCCTTGCAATGCCGTTGTCCCCTACACGGTAGAAAGTACGGTTCCATCACTGTTTGTTGTTGGGTTTGCTTTCCGTTGGGTCCTGTGTTTGTGCCATTCCTTCAGGAGCTGTGTCTCCTCCAGGTTTCTCTGTTTAGTTCCCTCAAAGGATTTTCTACCCTGGGCATTGCCTAAGAGTAGGCCACCTTTTGTAAGATAGGAGAGGTGAGAAGGGGCAATAAAAGATAAGTTTGCAACCCAAATAGATGTACTGGAGGAGAAAAGTTCACATAGGAGTAGAGGGCTTGGAAACTAATTTCCTTAAAACACATTGTTCCCTCCTGGGTATGTTTTAAATATACGCTTAAGGATGTGTCTCCTCCACTTTGAAGATTCTTCACACCAGGTGATAACCTACTATGTGCTTAGAGAAGTGTCCACAGTTGGGAGATGGTGAGTTGAAACATCCTTCCTACCCCAGGTCCATTCCACTGTGGTTTAGTACCTGGTTCCTGTTGATGACTGGCATTGGAAGATGCTATGGTGCATGCCCCACAGTGCATTTCTAGGGTTCATATCCCAGGCCTATGGCTGTGCATTCTCTATCATTATTTTCAGTTCCCTCACCTTCCTAGTCATCTTTACACAAGGATACTAACACTCAAAAATGAAACTTTTCTAAATTTGACTGTCTAAAACAACATAACATAAAATGTCAATGTTTGTGATTTTCTTTATAATATAAAAAGCTACTGTTTTTAACTTTTTGCTCTATGTTTGGTACTTCAAATAGTCCTGCAAAGGAGACATTATTATCATCATTCCTGTTTTCTGCATACAGACAAGAAGATTGAATTGGCAAAGACCTAAATGACGAGACAAAATCAAGAATTTGACTCTGTGCCTTGTTTAGTTAGCAATTGGTTAACTTATTCCTGGCTTGGTGGGGAGCTGATTTGACAGTAACATGATACCATGTAGACACATCTCTGTAGGCGTTCAGAGGGAGGAGCAGAAAAGATAAGAATAGACACAACATCAGAATTATCTGCACATTCTCTGGGAACTTCACTGAACAGCTAGAAAGCTCCTGTCATACATATAGAGTGGTGGTCGTCCATAACAACTTATTGAAGTGACCTAGTCCAGAGCAGTGGCTCCCAGACTAGACTGCCTAGTCCAAGAGAGTCTGTGGAGGTCTATGGACTACTGAATCAAGGAGAGGATCCAAACAACAGGGACTTCCTATGTCCCCTCCTCTATCTCAAACACGTCTTTTGTTTTCTCTAGTGTTCTTTATTTAGTCCAATGAGGACTAGTTAGACATGGGTAATATAAAAGTAGAAATAGAGATACATATGTGCAGAGAGGCAGAGGACAAAGAGAGTAAAGAAGACGAACACAGAAAGAGGAAGGGATGTTAAAAAATATCCATTCTGAGGGGGCTGGAGAGATGGCTCAGTGGTTAAGAGCACTGGCTGCTCTTCAGAGGACTTGGATTCAATTTCCAGCACCTACATGGCAGCTCATAACCATCTGTATAACTCCAGTTCCAGAGGATCCAATGCCCTCTCTTCTGACCTGCACAGGCACCAGGGATTCAGGGGGTGGGTGGTACAGACATACATACAGACAAAACACTCACACACATACAGTAAAAGTAAATAGTTAAAAAATATGAACTTAAGTGTCCTTATATATAGTACATACTCAAATATTTTATTTGATTTATTCTTGAGACGAGGTCTTCTGTAGCTGGTCTCATACTCCTTATGTGACTGGGGGTGACCTTGAACTTCTGATCCTTCTGCCTTCACCACCTGAGTACCAGGGTTATAGGCATACACTAGCACACCCAGTTTTAAACAGTACTGGAGATCAAATCCAAATCTTTGCGCATGCTGAGCAAGCCAATGACTTGTATCCTAGCACCTCAGACCCTTTTGCTGAATGAAAGTGAAGAAAGGAGAGAAGTGTAGCAGGCTTTTGGCCTGAAATGTATGTCTTTAATTTGCCTAAATCATTTGCAATTAAATGCTATTGTCTTCCAAATCACACTGAACTGTGGCATGATGTAAGTTATCTAGGGTGAGACCTTATCTTTCCATGAGTTGTGTGAAATGGCACAGATAGATACCTTGAGTACTCCTAGTATAACAGACAGTCTTCATTTGTAACAAAAGAGTGAGAACAGTAGTAATTCTCTGACATAACTGGGGATCAGGGAATGTAAGAAGAGTCCCACTATCGGAATATCATAATCCTATTACAAGATATTGTAGAGATACATCTCCCTCTAGGAAAAACCCAACAACTTCCCCAAATCTAGAAAACAGAACACAAAGGGTTAATTCTGTGTAAAGATTTTTTTTTTTTTTTTTTTTTTTAACAAGACAACTTTCTTTTTTTTTCTCCCTGCTCAAGATTCTCCTTAAATAGCCAGATCTCTTTTTGGAGTATTCAAAATTGGGTTTGCTTTACAACATGCTGATGAGACTCAACTTTTTAAGAATAAAATAAAGAGAGTGTGCAAAAAATGGACCACTGCCTGTCAGGTATCCAGAGTGAAGTCTCAGCTGTCACAGTGATGCATGCAAAGGTGCACTACTCTCCAAGCCCACTGAAATCAGAATCACCAAATGTGGAAGGTGCATTTAGCAGCCATCAAGTCCCCTCCTTCTGGGAAGGAAGGCTTATGTAAGCTTCTAGATCATTGGCCATCATTGACTTTGTGACTTTGGCAGTCAAGGGGCATCAATCTGGGGTCTGCAGCAACTGGGTATTATTCAGCATGTACTGAACTATTAGCTTAGTTTAAAACACCTTTTCTTATTGACATGGTTATGAAGATAAAGCTGCTGCTTCCCCTCTCTCTGTAGTGCTGTGGATAGAACCCAGGGCCTTCTGCATGTTTCGAAAATGCTTTAACACTGCTGCTCGCCAGGCCCCAGATGACTTGTCCTAAAATAAATGAAAACAGATTTGGGGTGGAGGATGCGATGTATCAGTCATTTATGGCATGAGCAGAAAGAGGAAAATGAGAATTTGGAGTAGGGCTAGATGGGAACATAGGATCAGGAGATTTTTTTTTTTTCTTTTCGTATCAGACCCCACTTCACAAGTACAGCTGATACAAGTGGGTAAGTGGCACCTAGTGTTCCCATCAGCCTTCCCTCCTGATTCATAGCAGGAAGAGGCAGGGACACACACTTCACTGACCAACTCAGTGAGTAAATGTTGCGCACTTTGCTCGACTCAAAGACAGGAGGTAAACAAGATGGGAGAGGACTGTATGCCCTTAGAGACCATACAGTCTTCAGTTAGTGTTCCAAGACAACTTTTCCAATTACACACATAAGGAAAAACATTCTGTTTTGAAGATGGCTACTATAATAGAATACACTGGTCCTGTTTCTGCAATCATCCCAAACTAGTCATCATGCGCTGGTCTCTAACATGATTTTTATAGGCTGCCGAGAGTCCTTCTAGAAGATGTATGCATTTAACTTAAAAAGCTAATGCATCAAGCACTTTGACAAAAATTAGAGTCAATGAAGGAGCACTTTTGGAGCAGCACACAATGCTGGGATTTTTTACAGGTCATCCGTTTTCTAGACTCCTCTTTGTAATTTCCCCTTCCTGCCTTATAAGCCCATATATGCTTTGTGTGTTCACAAGGTGAGATCCTCAAAAGAGAGGGAGTGTTCAATACACTGAATGGGGCCTGGGCCTGGAGGTGAACGTGTGAGGGAAGATGATAAAAAAGCAGATGTAATGACATACATCCATACATCGGGGACTGGTGGAGACAATGGGGCCTTTGATGCGTATTTAGGTTCCTGTTTCGGATTCTGCCACAGTTGTGTTGACAAATGTCCTTGCCGTCGTCCTGGTACAAGCAGTTTATGCTTAGAACCAGAGACAGCAAAAATAGGATTTGGGGGTAGCAAGGACTCTGATCAGTCAACAGGAAGAAAGTGTGCCCCCGGGGGAGAAGCTTCTCCTGGAGCAAAACTGTGCACCTGGAGATGGGTGGCGGATGAAACACAGAGCAATGGAAGAAACTGAAGCTTGCATCTTTCCTAGGCAAAGGAGTGCTAATGCTGAAGGTGGGTTGCTGGCAGGGTGGAGGTGGGGTGGAGGTGGGGGTGGGTTTGCTCCTCCTAGCCCCAAAGCTGGGGAACAGCAGGGAACTGGGAATGGTGTTGGCGAGGTTGTTATGTCAGGACAAGGTGTTGGGTATGAGGGTGGGTGGGGGCCTGAGGGGTGGCTTGGAGCCCTGGCGGTGGCTGCCTGACGTCACCGGCCTCTCTGGCAATAGGCTAAGAGCTGAGCTCCCTGTAGCAGTGGCGAAGGCAGCGGCGGCGGCGGCGGCGGCAGCAGCAGCAGCAGCAGCCGGGCTCTGTCTTCGGTCCCTGCGCTCCGCGCCTTCTGCAGCTGCCACTGCAGCCGAGGCAGGGGCTCCTTCTCTACAGCCGGCTGGCCGTTCCAGGTAAGAGACAATGGTCCGGCTGAAGGTTTCCATGGCTAGGGGGCCCAGCGGCAGGGTGTGGGCGGGTAAGACCACTCCCGCGGCCTGCGCAGGCACCTCTGGGCAGAGCTTCGGCCCCCGCCCCTGCCCCAGCCGAGGATAGCGCTGAGCCTTGCTGCTCCGCAGTGCAACAGTTTGCACCTGCCTTTTGGGAGAGGCGAGGGAGCTGTGCTGCCTGCTGCGGGTCCTCCTGACTTGGTCCTCTGCCACAGCCTCTGGGCCCTGGGGTCAGGGCCCCGGGAAGGCTGGAGACAAGGTCGGTTCCCCAAAGTTTGCAGGCGGGAACCCTTCCCCTTCCAGTTTCTGCTCTGGAAGAAAGAAAAAGGATACAGGATGCTGTCAAGTGGGAGGCTCGGGGAGATGGGGAGGAGGGGGGCGTTTGCGAGAATGTGCCTCTGCCGAGAAGAGTGCTTCAGCTGTTTTTGATGGGGAGTCAGGGGGAGGAAGGTAGCAGGGAAGAAGGCTGGAGAAAGGTCGAGCAAGATTCTGAATGCCAGATTCAGCGTGTCAGCTGGGGCCAGGGACAGAGGCAGTGGGATGTCTCCCCTGGGACTGGGACCTTGGGGATCTGAAGGTCCAGGCTGGAAGTGTCTGGAGAGGGAGGAATGGGGAAGGAAGCCTTCATACGGGGAGCCTGCTTGGAGGGAATGCTGGGGAGAGTGGCTCCTGAGAAGAGGTCCACCCGGCTCAGAGAGGAGGGCAGTTGGCTTTCTGGGAAGTAGATAGAGAAAGCCAGCCTTGGCGGCCGCTGTTGGTGACAATTAGAAAGTTGTGCAGGGGGCAGGGCGCTGGCTGCCTTCTCTGCTGAGTAACCAGTGTCTCCGCGGTGCGGTGCGGTGCGGACGCCAGACCCCATCGGAGCCAGCCGAGCAGCTGGCAACCGCTCTCCTGCGCTGCCAGGAGCGGTAGGATTGGGGTCGGTGGGTTGTGGAGATGGCAGCGCCCAGCTGAGGGCCGCTTGGCAGTGGTGGCAGATCCCCTTTCGTTCTCCTCACTTGCCTGGGCAGTGGCCGGGACCCTAACTAATCCTCTTCTCTTTGCAGCACGGTGCCTGGGGAAAGGAAACCGGGCGCTTGGAGACAAGATCAAGGAGGACCGGAGACAGTCTCCCTGGGGCTACTAGCTCTGGCCAGCTTGCTTGCCGGCAGTCGCTCCCTCTGTCTTTGGCTGGAGCGCTCACTCCTTCCAGCGCCAGGGAGCAGTTGGGGTGGCGTGGGCTCTTGTCCTCGTCTTGGCTGGTGGGAACAGTGTGTCCAACAGAGGAAGCCTGGTGGGCCTGGCCCCTCTCAGCCCAGCGCCGATGAGTGCCAGGGCGCCGAAAGAGCTGAGGCTGGCCCTGCCGCCCTGTCTCCTCAACCGGACCTTTGCTTCCCACAACGCCAGTGGAGGCGGCAACGCAGGTGTCCGCACCTCGGGCGCAGGTGGTGGCACCTGCATCACGCAGGTGGGACAGCAGCTCTTCCAGTCTTTCTCATCCACGCTGGTGCTGATTGTCCTGGTCACTCTCATCTTCTGCCTCATCGTGCTGTCCCTCTCCACTTTCCACATCCACAAGCGTAGGATGAAGAAGCGGAAGATGCAGAGAGCTCAGGAGGAATACGAGAGGGATCATTGCAGCGGCAGCCACGGTGGTGGTGGTGGTGGTGGTGGTGGTGGGCTGCCCCGGGCAGGTGTTCAAGCCCCAACCCATGGAAAAGAAACCCGGCTGGAGAGACAGCCCCGGGACTCCGCCTTCAGCACCCCCTCCAATGCCACCTCTTCCTCCTCTTCATCCCCTGGTCTCCTGGGCCAGGGCCCTTGTGCGCCTCCTCCTCCACCGCCAGCCCCCAGTCCACACGGAGCACAGGCAGCTTCCTCCTGCTCGGACACTGCTGGCGAGGGCCTTTTGCAAACGGTGGTACTGTCCTGATTGTGTAGCCCTCTCCTGACCCCTTCCTCGTTTCCAGCATCTTTGCCATCCTGGCTTTTGTTCCTCCTTTCTTCCTTTTCCGTTTCCCTCCGGTCCCTCTTTCCTCTGCCCTCGTCCCCCACCTGCCCACCCTTTTACTGTTTCTCCTCCGCCGAGGCACTGTGCGGTATTTGTAAATATTGGGCGAGGAAAGTCTCAGAGGAAGAAATAACGCTGATAATACTTCATCGATATTTATAGTAATTATTATACTATTAATAACACAGTCCAAGCGCATGACAAATCACATCATTTCTCATCGTCAATGATGGCTGCATCTTCCCTCTCCACCCCGTGCCCCCCTCAGTAAGGAGGAGAAACCGCACAAGCTACCAAATCTATAAAAGACATGAACACAGGAGCCAAGGGAGGGGAGGGGGCCGGTGATGTTGTATATAGCTGTCAAGTGAAGGTTTAGTCGCCTTTCTGCCCCTCCCCCACGGGCTTTCACCTTTCCTTTAGCTTCTCCCGCCCCCGCCCCCTCCTCACCTTCAGCTGGGCTCAGGCATTAGTATATTATAAAGGAAACATTTACATGAAGCACCAGAGACCACAGAGAATGTCCCAGAAAAATGTTCAGGACAGGTAACCCCTCTCTAGTCAGTCATCTCTTCACTCTTTGGTTTCCCTGGGCAGAGTTAGTTTACTTTTAGAAATATCTCCCTGGACGAGCCGCAAAAAAAAAAAAAAAACCAAAACAAAACAAAAACCATACTGTATGCTTCTGCTCGCCCACCCCCTTCCGCCCGGCCCCACTTGCACACTTGATTGGTGGCAGGGTTTTATTATTTGTTTATTCATCTATTGATTTCTTTATTTTTGAGCCTCAGAGACATCGGGAGCTGTCCAGCCATGTCTGGTGCTGAATATGTCTCGCCCTCACGCTTACTTCCTCTGGCTGTGCAGGCCAAAGAAGGAGCTGTTTTGGAAAGTGATTGTCTTGGTTTTGATTGGTTTCTTCTTTTTTCTACAATTGGATTAGTGTGTACTATTGTTTTGCTTATTATTAAACATTGCATAAGTTACCTTTATGTAAAAAAAAAAGTATTAGGTAATGTGCAGTTCTGAAAATGCAGTATCTAACCAAGCAGTATGTTTCTGTTTTATTTTTAGAACAAGTGCACCTTTGTTATATACTTATTATATTGGTACCAAATACAGAAGAAAACCATAGTTCTGTGATATGTCCTCCAAACTGTATATTCTTGTTCTGACTTTCCAGCTGTTGATACAATGGTTGCCACTGGCTGAGGAAGTCAGTGGTACAGGCCTGGCTTCTGTTTCCGGAAGTGTTCTTTTGTATTTTACTCTGTAGTAGACTATTATAAAAAGATGACACTCACGTTTCCCTTTTTCTTTTGTGAATAACAGAAACGGCCACACCAGAATAGAAGGAATGGATGTGCAGGAATGCCATCTATTAAACCCTGGTTAATATTTCAACAGTGCCTGTAGTTCTCTGCATGCAGTTACCACCTGGAGGCAGTGGTGTGTGTGTTTGTACTGTATGTGTTGGGGGAAAGTCTGGTGGAGATGTTGGGCAATTTGGATGACGGGACATGCAAATTTCCAAGGTAAATCAGTAAATGCTTACAGGATAAAAATGTTTACAGTTTGTTTAGTTACAACTCTGTGCCTGTATCTGATATACAGCAATGGAGGATCTCGCTTCTTTCTAAGTCTGGCCTAATTAGCCTCCCTGAACACATAGAAAATGTTGAGGAAAAAAGAAAGCCAGAGAGAAGGTAAATCTTTTGTCTTCTCTTCAAAAGTCAGATAAACTCATCTATGTTAGACTCTGCTGCTGGGTGTAAGGCAGTGGGACCCTCACAAAAATTCCTCTCCCAAGCCACTAGCTGCCCTCAGTTCTCTGTTTTGTTTCAAGTTGTATGTGCTTATTATCCAGAGAAACTATTGCCTCTAATGTTTTTTGTTATTATGAAGTTTCCCAAGCTCAGTCCGTATCTTTATAAAATAAGTTAATAAGGTTGATTTCAGTCACCCATCAGATATCATCTGAGTCCTTTTCTGAAGCACAGGCCATCATTTAAGCATGCCATGTTGTATCATTAGGAAGATCAGGTATAATCTTTGGATACAATATATTAACAATGAATCAGATTCTCTCCAGTGCCTTAGTCACTTCCTAGTAACAGGTCTGAGTGCATTCACTCCCTCAGGCTACCAGGGAACCCATCAGTGTAACTGAGCTCCACATTGTACAACAGAATGGCTAAGGCACTGTGAAGGAGAATGTCCATCAATCTCTTTAACTTACCCTCATCCACCTATAGCTCTTAACACCTTCTTACAGAATGGGTTTTGAATGTGAAATCTGAATAGAATTAGGAACCCAGAAAGAAGGAAGTTCCATCATCTCAATGAGCTCTACTTAAGTGCATAGATATTACTTTCTTCCCATTATTTGGTGCACTTTTTTTTTACAGTAAATAATTTCCCATTTTATTAAAGCAATAAAATATTCTGTTTTGAGTAGTGCTAGATGCTGATTCCACTTCCTTGGTGCTGAAGCGACTCATGTGTTCTTGCCTTATGAATCACAGTGCATTCAAGGCATGCAATAATAATCCCCTTCCAAGAAGCAGCCTGTACACCCTAGGGGGCAATGTCCTATATACTTTTCCCAAAAGAGATAGAGGGAACAAGAAATAAGCTAATTGTGTGTATTTTAAAAAAATCTTGATACCTCTAACCATAAGCACACATCTGTAATGTGCTATCATAGTGCACCTTAAGTGTTTATGCCTTTCCCCATCAATTGACTAGGGTTTAATATTTTAATAGTGTCCTGTGTAAAGATGATGCAGCTTGTCAATCATGTTTCATACTGAGTTTAATATGCTGTGAACCTGGTGGTGTCACACAAGATTTCTGTGAGCTAGAATGAGAATTACATGAAATTCTAGTAGATCAGATCCCACACCAAATTATTGCAATAAGCATATGACAATGCAAATTTCTATAGGCTCTGTTTAGATTGCTACTTAGTGAACTCAGCTGACCCATATGACATTCAAGATTTCATTTTTATGAAACAAACGGCAATATGGAAATAGCTAAATTTACTCTAAGGATTTTATTTACCGATGTCCAGTCAAACTAATTGCTTCAACCCTCTATAGCTACAGCTCAGCTCCTGCACTTGCTATTCAGTATTAATAAGGTAGCATGCTTGACTCTTACTGTTTTAAGACATGAGAAAATAAGAGAAAGAGAATGCCAATATGTCAACTGTATGGGACTCTGACTCTTGAAGATGTAGATGGATATAATCTTTAGAATTTATATACACCCATAGATATGTATTTATATATGCATACATTTTGTACAAATTTACAATGGACTTTTTGTATTCTCTTTTCTGTCATTATAAGTATGAGACTGAAACCAAATAGTTGTTCCATCCTCTGATCCGGAGAGGATCTGAGAAGTCAGGTAAATGCATGTACTTGTTTCTTTGGGGTCAAATAGGAATGACTTTCTCTTTATTTAATGGAAGGGGAGAGTCTTCCTCGGCTTGGGAAATTGGTAATTAGATAAGCTTCCTTTCCTATATTAGTGACTCAAATGTAGCAACGATAATGAAGTTATGACCATATCAATATGGTCCAGCTATCTAGGTGGAATAAAAAATCTATCTAAAAGATCTTTGGAGACATCTAGACCATAATCATGGATTGCAATTTGATTTTTCTTTTCCTTTTTCAACATATATGTTGTATGAGATACAACATATATCTGCATATTTAAAGGTAAAATGAAAATATAACTATTATCTGTTTAGTTTGACAAGTAGCTTTTGGAAAATATGGACGATTTAGCTTTAAACATTACTTTGGTATTTGACCTTTTCTCCCTTCCTATCTGTATCCATGGAATTGATTAGACAATGACTAAAACTTCTTCTTTTTCAATGCATAGACATAGGCTTTAAGTGCTTTTCTGTTGATAATGGCTAAGAAATTACTAACAGATATTGCTAAGAGTTGGGTTTGGCTAAACCAGGAACTTTACTATGGCTTCTGAAGTCCACTCCCAGGTGAATCTAGGCTTTAATCTGAAAAGCCACGTGTTGGTGTGTGAAAGCAGGGGCTGCAGCTCACAGATATCACAGTTCATGTGAGAATGAATTGCCCCATCTACACAAGAAGATATTTCATCCCTGGGATGAATAGAAATCTGATTCTGGTTTGTTTTTCTTTCGCTTATGTGTACTATTTGAGAAGCAGATATTCTGGCTTGGCATCAATGCTTATCAATGCCACCAACCCAATGGTACCACTGGTGCCATGGAGGAATGCTTAGTAGAGAATAAGGATTGACTTAGCTTTAATTGGGGACAATGAATTATTCCAATTTTTTTTTAACCTATGAGGCTATTTCCCCGAGACGTGTGGTCTCCCAGGATTGCTGCTGTAGAGAGGTTAACAACAGTGACAGCGCCCACAGGCAAACTGACTTTTGAACTTGAGTATATCCAATAGATAGAATAAAACAGGTACTAGAATTCATGAAAAATTTGTTTTGCTTTTATATCAATAAAAGAGTTTTCTTGTTAATTGGCTTTTTGGACACTATTTCCTTATTAATTTAGTGTATAACATGCCAGAGTTATAAAATAGCTTACTCTGTTACACTTAGATACACTTTTCTAAAAGAGGCAATTAAAAATGTTTTTACAGCTTATCTGTTCTTCCACATAAACCAGCTGCATCTCAAAGAAGGTGTGTGTGTGTGTCTCTCTGTGTGTGTGTGTGTGTGTGAATATGTGTCTGTGAGAGTATGTGAGTGTGTGTGTGTGAATATGAGTGTGTGTGTGTGAATGTGTGAGTGTGATAGTGTGTGAATGTGAGTGTGTGAATGTGTGTGTGTGTGTGTGTGTGTGTGTGTGTGTGTGTGTGTGTGTGGTGTGTACTTGGTATAACCCAGTAATCTGAGTCTACTGTGATAATTCGGTGGTCCTTCTAGGCACCAACTTGAAGTCTTGAGGTTTTACCCTCTTCTTCCCTGTTCACTGCTCTAACAACCTAGTCTATCAGGAAGAGATGTGTTGAGAACCATTTTTTGCCATTTAAAGAGGGATGCCCCAGTTTTACACAAATTCAGAAGGGTCCTAACTGACTCCTGCTGAAATGCAGCTTGTCTGGGATGCTTCTTACTGTGTCGTGCTATTGTCCTACCCTGACTTCCTGCTGACATTCGTTACTATAGTCTTAGACCCTGACCTTTGTCTCCAGTCTGTAATTTATCACAGGACTCTTCACCCCAGGCTTACCATTCCTAGCTTGTACCACCTCCCTATTGAAGATACAGTGAAGGTCCGGCTTTCCTGAGTTCTGGACCTGCATTGAAAGGCATGAATTCTTTCTGAGGATCATGAATCAAACCACTACCCCTGCCACCTCAGCTCTATGGTTCTTGTAACATGTTAGATGTCACACAGAACTGTTTCCTCTGAAGTTCTATAGCCTCACACTTCTAAGTATCTGAGTAAATGTAGGCTTGGCATTTACCCTCAAAGCTGTTTAGATGTTCATCAAATACTAACAGTCTTTTTGGCTTCTAATGATTATAGAGGAGTGACAGACTTTCATGGCTACTTACCTCCCTTTCTTCTTCTGTTTTATTTTTTTTCTCAAAATTTCCCCAGACTAAAAGAAACATTTATTTTTCCTCATGGTCCCTCCTCTCTTTCAGAGATTCTTTCCACAGTGATTAGCTTTCCTCTTCCTCAGTGTACCTAGTCTCCTTATGGGCATCAACTTTGTGCTTAATTCTTAGTGGCAGTTGGATCAAGAGTAGGAAACATAATTGTAAGGTAAGGTCCCCCAAACTGCTCCTGTAGCAGATTTCCAGTCATTGTAAGCTTATTGGTAAGGTCCCCCAAACTGCTCCTGTAGCAGATTTCCTGTCATTGTAAGCTTATTGATAAGGTCCCCCAAACTGCTCCTGTAGCAGATTTCCTGTCATTGTAAGCTTATTGGTGAGGTCCCCCAAACTGCTCCTGTAGCAGATTTCCTCATTTTTGCAAAGCAAGTGTGATCACGGTTAAGCCTTATTCTCCTTTCTCCTAAGATTTCGACCATCCATCCTGTATTTGTTTTGCCATTGCTACCCACTCGAACCCTTCCAGTGTGTCTAGAATACCTCATTACTGATTGGAGCTTTAATCTTAGGTCATTATTTGATCTTCAAGAAGGCTCAGCCACTTCCCTATACTGACCCATGACAGCCCCTCTCGCCAAGCTCTGCAATTGTGTATAGGAAATTCTAACCTTGAGCTGAGATGAAATTCTATTGAGTATTGGATACTGAAGTGAAAATGAGCAACTGACTTTACCTGAAGGCAGCAGCTAGTGTGGATTAGTGATAAAAACCCAATCTCTAACCATGTCTTTACTCCCAGGAGGCGTACATTTTAACCTTAGCTGTTTGGTGTAATAGAAGGAATAGAAGGATGGATATTAACACAGCTCACTCTTACTGGGATGGCATGGATTCAGTTTTTTGTTATTTGGGTTTCCCAGGCAAGGATTAATCTATGAAACATTAGCTCCATATATTTCTTTTGGGTTGAATATTGGAGTCTAATCTTTTTTCTAAAGGACTATCTCCATATATGTCCCAGATTGGAATTGATGCAGATAATATTTTATTTCTGTCTCTAAAAACACTGGCTCATTTTCCCAAACCTTACAGATGAAGATACTTTAGAGATGAGTGTTCTTCGCTCTACTTTTTGACCTCATCGTAGACATCCCTATCAACCTGTAAATTGTCTGTTTTCCTTGGCTGTGGCTTTGAGTCGGGTGGGTTAATTTTTACCTGAATGTCTGCCATCACTGCTAGGTGCATTCAGAATCTCTGAAATCCTAGGGCAGCCTTTGCATGCCTCATTGCACTGAAGTCTCAATGATGCATTGAGGTAGCAGAAGTGTTCATCCTTAGCCTACACACACGCAAAAGAATGCATCTGCTTTATTTTTCTATGACTAATCTCTTTTCCTCACAAAGTCTTATGTACTGTGAAGTTCTTTCAAGAAAATTTCCAGATGTTCCCTTCTCCTGTTTCTTTCCAAGCTGGTACCTAGATACAATTTATGTTATCTTGTTGTGACAGCATGGGAAGGTTCTTCAGACCTAAGCAATATTAAGAGGATTCTTTCTGAGTCTGGCTGGAGGGTGGCAAATCTAGTCTACATCCTGAAGTGGTGACTAGTAGGAGTCAAGTCCCTTGCAGTATCCACCGGTATAGCCCAGGACTGTGAATATTTTCATAGGGATTTAACACCTGAGTCTGCATTAACATCTGGATTCCAACTGTAGGCCTTTGCTGTTTTACCATGTCCTATTCATACCTGGAGTCCCTCAGTAAGGGTTAGTGAGACTTCCTGGGTCCCTCTGTGTATCTCATTCAGATAATGGGAAACAGGAAGCATTCTGCCCATTGTCACCACGGTCATTCCACTGCCACCACTTTATTGTGGGGGCAAAAAGTTCCTTCTGGCGGAACTAGGGAGACTGCTAATGTGATCACTAGCCTCAAAAACCCTTGACCCTCTGACCCTAGCACAGTGACATTCACTGGGTCAAATACCTCTCTCTGGGTTAAAACCCCCTTTTCCCTCAAAGTATTTGAGAATAAAGAGCCCTGTTATGTGTCTTCTTCCAGTCAGTCTGATTCCTCCTAAATGACTCAGGCTTAGAAGGTATGGGCTTTTTTATATGGTTCTTTAAGGACTTATTTGCCACAATCAAAAAGGATCAGGTAGATTTTTAGGGATTTCTGCTTTCTAAATGTTACACCCTAAAAATTGACTTCAAACTCATAGCTTAAATTGGAAAACAGGATGAGGAAGAGAAACTAGTCTGCAAGCAAACAGCCCTGCATCCGAATATGGTTCAGAAACTTTTATTGATCACCTTTGTTTGCACAAGGTGATGATTTCAGGTTGTATGTGGGGAAGATTTGATCGCCTTCTGCTGCCTTCCAGTGTATGATGTTCCAACTAAGCCCTTAATTAAATTACTTAAGCAATAAACAAGAACTTGATTTCAGTAGAATAGTCTTCAGACCCTTGTCAAGCATCCTTGAGAGAGATAGAGGTGTTGGCAGTATTTGGTGCTTCAACATAGACCAGACTTCTCAAGGGATAAGAAGAGGAAGTGAAGGTCACCAAGTACCAAAGAGGAGTCATCACTAAGAAAGAACAGAAGAGAAAGTAGGACACTGACTCCCCTAGTTTTCACTGTGCCCTGGATCACTTCCTCTTATTGTAGGGTGCTCTTCTGTGACAAAGGATGGTGTTTTTGCCCTGTCCATTGCCATGCTGTGACAGGATCTTAACTTCAGCTCCACTGCCCTCCCTCTAAGAGCTGCAAATCAGCCTGTAGTAGTTCTGAGTGCCCAGGCACATTCTGATCTTAGTATGCACAGATAACTAATCTTAGTTTGGCCACTGATTGGGTTTTCATTGACTGATGTTATAAAAATCTTATGGATGAAATGATTCCCTAGAAGCTTTCATGGTTCACTTTTAACTCTTGAAATTTCTTTCAAGTCATAGATATTCTCAGAGTCAGCTGTTTGCTAGACATCAGTTTTGGTGCCAGGTATGTCACAGTAAAGAATATAAACAAAGTATCCTGACTTCACTTTTTTGCAAGTTAGAAAATTCATAAACATACAGAGAATACAATTACTTGAGTCCTTGTATTTCAATGACCACTCCACACTTTAAACTATTTATATGTATTATAATTTTGTATGAAATTGTGATGGTATTCTTTCTAGATAAGCCTTATATAACTCCTCCTTCTATTAAGTACTCCCTATTTTAATTGTAAACAGTGAAGAGAGGCAATAAACAAAATACATAAGATTATATAGTAGATTATGGAGTATATTTAAGGACAAATGTGCTATAAAGACAGTGGACTAGAAAAAGGAAGACTGTGATAGGAAAGAATATTGGATTTTAAATAGAGTAGTCATGGAAGGTCTCACTGAGAAAATTATATTTGAGCAAAGACTTGAAGCAATGCAGATATGGGCTAACATACCAAAGATCATTTGGCTAGAAGGATTTTGAAAATTTATTTTCCCCAGGTCCTTAATCTTATAAATGAACAGATAGAGATTTTGGTAGGAAGAAGATAAGAAAATTATGTTCTCCAAACATTGTATTAGGTACTGACACAATCCATGAGGGAAGGAGGAGGTGGCCTAGAGCACTTTATAGTTTATAATCAATCAGCACACACCCATTCAAGTTCACATATATGTGTGTCACTTTGGGGTCCCCAAAATGACGACTAAACCTGCACATGAGGGCTAAGAAGGGTTTCTCAGAGCAGATTGGTTGCTTTTGGACCTGTCAAGATGAATTAGAATTCTCCAAAAACAAAGGGAACAATTTCAGTGGAAAGAAAAGATGTGCAAAGCCACAGAGGAAGAACATTGCACAATTTTGTGGAATATTATGATAACTAAACAGGGGAGGAAAGGCCACATCATGAAGGGTACTACAAAAGACATCATTTGAAGGTGTGCCTTTTC